CCACCTCCTGTAACCTCTGATCCAGTACCAGCACTTTATTTAGCATACCTCAATAGAAATATAAAGCATCTCAATCTTCATTTTCCTACAAAGCACTGCAATTATGGAATAATCTGACGGACACAATCAAATCTTCATTAAATCTAAAATCCTTTAAGAGTTCTATAGCAACATACCTCAAAACAGAATGCACCTGTAATGATGGTTGACTATATTTCTTACCTGTTCTGTGTTAAATTTATATAATTGTGTGTGTATATATATATATATATATATATATATATATATATATATATATATATATATATATATATATATTTGTGTACGGGATAAATAGTGGGATGTATGATTAAATGAATGTAATTTGATAAGAACAAAGTCGGTTGAGGTGTGCCGAAACCGACATTAGGTTAGACCTGTAAAAAAGAGGCCCCACCAAGATAAATGAATATGAAATACTAAAGGGTGAGGTGGGAGGGAACTTCCGAAATTGGCAACGACAGGTAAACAGGGGTTACTTGGGTTAAATAGGACCAATAATCCCTCCCACAATTTCAGGCATATGCCTTCCACTTGTGTACGGGATAAATAATGGGATTTATGATTAAATTAATGTAATTTGATAAGATTGAGAGAATATAATGGTCGTTTACTTTTAATAAGTATTTTTGCTTAAGGCATGACTTAAAGTCAGATGCTTTCTCCACAGAAAATTCTTTGGGTCTCAAGAAACCGTAAAATGCCAAATATGACTTGATTACCAGATTAGTGGAATTGTCAAAAGGGTTATTATCTAATAATTCAGAGATCCTCCTAAAGATGTTACTGTCTATGGGAAGTCTTTTAAGGTTTTTAAAAAAAATTTAGTCTCTAAATACCTTTCAGTACGCTTTTGATCGGATATGAAGATAAGATTGGAGTTTTGTTTGGTTATAGTGTTAACATATAACACTGTCAAGTATAGTTTAATGGTATTGTATGCTTGTCTCAAAGAGATGTGGCAAAAAGTTGTGAATTCAACCATAGTTTCTACAGAATTTTTTTTTATTACATTAAAGTCACGCACAAACTTTTTAAACAGGTTATATGCTCTAGCGTGAGCTGTTTTTGTGATAATTGACAAACCAGCTTGTGCGAGTGATCTACTGTGTTTTAACAGCGTATTTAAAGCATAATTAGGTCTTTGAATTGTGGAGGTTCTTTGGGCTGAACATTCACTGTAGGATGTAGTCTTAAAAATTCCTGTAAATTAGAACATGACAGAGCATAGAAACATAGAAACATAGAATGTGACGGCAGATAAGAACCATTCGGCCCATCTAGTCTGCCCAATTTTCTAAAAACTTTCATTAGTCCCTAGCCTTATCTTATAGTTAGGATAGCCTTATGCCTATCCCATGCATGCTTAAACTCCTTTACTGTGTTAACCTCTACCACTTCAGCTGGAAGGCTATTCCATGCATCCACTACCCTCTCAGTAAAGTAATACTTCCTGATATTATTTTTAAACCTTTGTCCCTCTAATTTAAGACTATGTCCTCTTGTTGTGGTAGTTTTTTCTTCTTTTAAATATAGTCTCCTCCTTTACTGTGTTGATTCCCTTTATATATTTAAATGTTTCTATCATATCCCCCCTGTCTCGTCTTTCCTCCAAGCTATACATGTTAAGATCCTTTAACCTTTCCTGGTAAGTTTTATCCCGCAATCCATGAACCAGTTTAGTAGCCCTTCTCTGAACCCTCTCTAAGGTATCAATATCCTTCTGAAGATACGGTCTCCAGTACTGTGTACAATACTCCAAGTGAGGTCTCACCAGTGTTCTGTATAATGGCATGAGCACTTCCCTCTTTCTACTGCTAATACCTCTCCCTATACAACCAAGCATTCTGCTAGCATTTCCTGCTGCTCTATTACATTGTCTGCCTACCTTTAAGTCATCAGAAATAATCACCCCTAAATCCCTTTCCTCATATGTTGAGGTTAGGACTCTATCAAATATTCTGTACTCTGCCCTTGGGTTTTTACGTCCAAGATGCATTATCTTGCACTTATCCACATTAAATGTCAGTTGCCACAATTCTGACCATTTTTCTAGTTTACCTAAATCATTTGTCATTTGGCTTATCCCTCCTGGAACATCAACCCTGTTACATATCTTAGTATCATCAGCAAAAAGACATACCTTACCATCAAGACCTTCTGCAATATCACTAATAAAAATATTAAAGAGAATGGGTCCAAGTACAGATCCCTGAGGTACCCCACTGGTGACAAGTCCAAGCTTCGAATATATTCCATTAACTACAACCCTCTGTTGCCTGTCACTCAGCCACTGCCTTACCCATTCAACAATATTTGAATCCAAACTTAAAGATTGCAGTTTATTGATAAGCCTTCTATGTGCAACAGTGTCAAAAGCCTTACTGAAATCTAGGTAAGCAATGTCTACTGCACCACCCTGATCTATAATTTTAGTTACCCAATCAAAAAAATCAATAAGATTAGTTTGGCATGATCTCCCTGAAGTAAACCCATGTTGTCTCTGATCTTGAAATCCATGTGTTTTAGATGTTCATCAATCCTATCCTTTAACATGGTTTCCATCACTTTCCCCACTATTGAAGTAAGGCTTACTGGCCTATAGTTGCCCGACTCCTCCCTATTACCTTTCTTGTAAATGGGCACAACATTTGCTAACTTCCAATCTTCTGGGACTACTCCTGTTAACAATGATTGGTTAAATAAATCTGTTAATGAGCATCAGCTGTGTTATTCAGAATGCCTGGTACGTGGATACAATATACACAGAACTGTAGATTAGCTGCTAACCAGGTAAGTTTCCTTACTAAATTCATTATAGTAAGGGATTGAAAGCGGCTTTTGGTAATAATGTTACAAGCTGCTAAGTTGTGAAAAGCACCTAACTGCTTTACCTTTCCATTCTTTGAGCCATGTGTGGGCTGCAGCTACTGGGAAGATTTCTAACAGTGCTGAGGTCTTCTTAAAATTCTCTAGGGTAGAGGTTTCTGGTGGCCAAGTATCATATACCCAGTCGTTGCCGAATATAGCAGCGTAACCTATAGCTCCTGCTGAGTCAGTTCATATTACAGGAGATTTGTCAGAGATGGGGGGGGACAAATAAGGACCTAACATTCCAAGAGGATAAAAAGAGATGCCACACTATTAGGTCAGCCCTAGCTGGTGCATCTAAAATAGTTCTACAGTCGTCTTGAGGGAGACCATGTAAAAGAGAGAGTATTCTAGAGATGAAAGATCTTCCTTGAGGAATAATCCTTATAGCGAATTTAAGTGAACCTAAAAGTGACCTAAAAGTCCTTCCTGGTGAAAGACCCATGAGTGGTGCAGACTTCAATATATGTTAAAATCCTGTCTACCTTTTCCTGAGGAAGGCTAGCTTGCATGGATACTGAATTTAGCGTGATACCCAGGAAAGTTATTTCGGTGCTGGGACCTTCTGTTTTGTCTGGGGCTACTGGAACTACCAAATCCTTAAATAGAGAAAGTGTGTGTTGTAAACTGTACCGTGTGTAGTAGTGTGGTTCAATGGAGAGAAAAACCTCAATGTAGTGAATCACTACTTTACATATGCTTTTGTATCATAAAACCATTCTCAATTTCTTTATTGAGGACTTCCTGCAGACTAGTTAGGTCTGTGAGTGAGGATTATAGGTTGGGGCATTCTAGAATACCTGTGGGGAGTCCAACAAAGCCAGTGTGAAACCCATTGGAGATCAGTCACGTAACATTGCAAGTTGGGTATGTTTATTGGAGTTAATGATTTTTTGGGGAACAATTTGTTTGGACATATCATTTTAGACTGTGCTCTGAAACAAAGTGAGCAAAGAAGTCTGCAGGAGCAGAACCTACGTCCCCCCCGCATTGAAGTTATTACACACTTGAGCTCTCCCAAGAAAAATTATAGGCCTGCCTAATTTATTTTTCAACTCTTTTTGAGCCATATTTGGTTGAAACACTGAGTTGGCATTGCTAGCAGAAGGTAAAGCAATGTTATTGGGACAGAAGTTTACTGTATGTGAAGCTGAGGAACATATTGCAGAAGCTGGTGTTTTAAGTCCCGCAAAATGTCTACAAAACTATTCTGTGTCCTATTGGCCCCAGTCAGTAGCAGTATTAAATTGAGCCAGTGACGCAGCGGATCTTGCTGAAAAGGACCTATGATAATCGTAGAACGCAAAGCCTCCGTATTTATAAGCTAGGTCCACCAGTTTGTGCAAGTATAAATCTAGTTCCTCTCTATAGTGGGAAAAGAAGAGCAAATAACATCCCTATATAATCCTAAAGCTATAACAAACTTTGGAATATTTTACTTCCTGTTAAGTCTGGGGTCTCTAGACTTCATAACGACGGATAAATCGTCAAACATGCATGGCCTGTTTTCAATTATATCCTGTGATGCAATGAGGAGAGAAGCCAAACATCTTTGCCTTCTAATATGTCACTTTTTAAGTTTTGTGGAATGAGATGTACTGGATTAATAATGTTAGTACTTTAGCGGGTAGAGGATTAGAGTTACCTCCTGTGCTTGGTTCTGGCTGAGCTATGAGAAGTTGGACATCCGGGATGATTGTTTGAATAGTGGATTCCAGATTATCCAACCGGTTGTGAATAGTGGTTACAGAAGCCACTGGAGAGGATATCATGTTATGCAGTTCTGACAAACTGTTTTGGCTATTACATTTTGAACTAGAGCCAGGCCTTTCATTTTCATTATGTGTGCTTAACAAGCGAAATAGTTTGGCTTTGCTGGCTGTGGCAGTAAAGGGAATGTTCTTTCTTTTAAGTTCAGCCATGGGGGCGGGGCCTAGCTAACATGGCAGACAAACGTGTCTGAGGGGAGCTCCTCATACAACCACAGCGAAAACCACAAAAAAGCAGCTCAACGACCGCTAAACTCAAGTGCTAATACCAGAATCCCACACCGAAGGGGATCACCCACAAGCGACTGGGGAGCACCGTCCATGATCCGCGACCAAAATACTCATTGCGGCCTACCTAAAAGGTGGACTAAATGGAGGGGAGACACGGCTGGGCTCCCAGCCACCCGCTGTCAGAGTGCCATAACCGACCCGATCCCCCCCAGGACTGGAGAGGGTTATCCCGATCCCACCTGGGGGCGCAGTGACTACGAAGCACAAAGGACTCACCGGACCCCCAGGTTACTCCTTCACAACAAGCCGAACCTAAAATGGCGACTGAGGAGGAGATCACACGGATGCCAGCATGGCAGGCACGATTCAATGCTATCTTCGACAGAATCTGTGCAGCGTTCTGGTGCCGGATTGAATCCCGTGCAGCACAGACACAGCCACCATTGCAGCCAGCGACCGGCATCAGCAGACAACCCAAATTGTTCAGCAGCCCCTAAGCCTGGAAACATACCGAGCGCAAGGCACTAGTGTACCAACAAGTCGCATCGCCCACGTGGAAGCCGCTGCCGCTGTGACCGCTTACCCTTCATCTGAGCTGGGTGCTCACAAGGAGGAAATCCTCCATAGCCTGCCATACACCCAGGGAGATCGGGCTCCGGCAGATCCCTGTGCCCACAATCCTGGTGATGGGATCAATGGCAACTGGGCACGAGCACCCACTAAGGCCTCAGGCCGAAGACAGGCGGCCCCTGGACGCAGTGACACCACAGCACTGGAGCGAATCAGCTGACCTCACCGCCGGAGAAGTGTACCATGCGGAGTGGGCTGAGTACAACCACAGACACTACAGGACAAGCTAGTTACTGCCTGGCAACCTCACTGGTACTTAGCTGGGACTTTGGACTGGGAGCGTTGCAAACCATTACCTCAGTTGCCTGACTTAGCACGACCCCTAGGGGTCCCTTGATACGCAAGTATTATGCTTTAGCATTGCCTACATCAACAGCTAGCCTAACCAGTTAAAACATGCCTATCATGTATCACGTGAGCACTGTATACCCGATGTCCTAGCGTATTACTGCATAATTGCAATATCTTCAATGCTAATACTGCGTACCTTATTGTTGGGATTCTTTACGTTTCTTTACTTTGGTGTTAGTTAATTCTCACAGGTCAGCTGTATCCTCAGTTTGTAATGCAAACACTGGCCATGCCATATTGCCTAGCATGCTTGATTTCCTCACCTAACCTACTATAAATATGCAGACCTTTTTGTTACTCACTGTTTATTTTGAGCTCACTTTCACTGTGGGCAAAATGTACTAGCCTGACTATACAGTCACCATTGTATGCATGTATTAACGCTAGAACAGTACTGAGTTTCACTGATATATCTCAATCGACTAGTCTCATAACCGGACTACCTGAAAACACGGCACTACACGCTTGTATATTGCAGTCATGCTAACTTAACTAACTAAGCAACGTAGCATCTTGTGTACCTGACTTGCTTAGATGTAGGCTGTGTCATTTTAGCTAATCTTAAACTACTTTGGTTCAGCTTCTGTTCAAACGCATACTTTTTCTAGTTCAAAAAAACAAACAAAATGAGGCATTACTAACCTAGAAATGTTACATAGTTACATAATTACATAGCTGAAAAGAGACTTCCGTCCATCAAGTTCAGCCTACCTCACATTTGTTTTTTGCTGTTGATCCAAAAGAAGGCAAAAAAAAACAGTTTGAAGCACAATTTTGCAACAAGCTAGGGAAAAAATTCCTTCTTGATCCCAGAATGGCAGTCAGATTTAACTTTGGATCAAGCAGTTATTACCCTACATTAAAAGATTATATCCTTGAATATTCTGTTTTTGCAAGTATGCATCTAGTAGCCACTTGAACAGCTGGATGGACTCTGATAAAACCACTTCTTCAGGCAGAGAATTCCACATGCTGATTGTTCTTACAGTAAAAAAAACCTTTCCTTTGCCTTAGACGAAATCTTCTTTCTTCCAATCTAAACGCATGGCCTCGTGTCCTATGTAAAGTCCGGTTTGTGAATAGATTTCCACACAATGGTTTGTATTGGCCCCGAATATATTTGTATAATGTTATCATATCCCCTCTCAGGCGACGTTTTTCTAAACTAAATAGGTTTAAATTTGTTAACCTTTCTTCATAGCCATGTTCCATTCCTTTTATTAATTTTGTAGCCCGCCTCTGCACTTTTTCTAGTGCCTTAATATCCTTCTTTAGAACATGTGCCCAAAATTGCATAGCATATTCAATATGGGGACTTACCAGTGATTTATAAAGAGGCAAAATGATATTCTTGTCCCGAGAATGAATGCTCTTTCTCCACTGCCTTGGCCACTGCTGATTGACATTGCACATTGTTGCATAGTTTGTTGTCTATAACAATTCCCAAGTCCTTTTCGTGTGTTGTTATCCCTAATTCGCTTCCATTAAGGGTATACGTTGCATGTGTATTCTTTACGTCGAAGTGCATAACTTTGCATTTTTCAACATTAAGTTTCATCTGCTATTTGAGTGCCCAGTACCTCAGTCTATCTAAATCCCTCTGCAGCAAAGTAATATTTTGCTCACATTGTATTGTTTTACAAAGTTTTGTGTCATCTGCAAACACTGAAACATGACTTTCAATGCGGTCTTCAAGATCATTTATAAACATGTTAAATAGAAGGGGTCCCAGAACAGACCCCTGAGGGACACCACTTGCCACCTCTGTCCAGCTTGAAAATTTACCATTAATGATAACTCTTTGTACTCTGTTTTTTAAACCAATGTTCTACCCAAGAACAAGCATTTTCATCTAGACCAATTTCCTTGAGTTTTAACACTAATCTATTGTGTGGAACTGTATCAAATGCCTTGGCAAAATCCAAATAGATCACATCCGCGGCAACACCCTGATCTATACTTCTACTTACTTCTTCGTAGAACGCAATCAAGTTAGTTTGACATGACCTGTGCTTCATAAAACCGTGCTGATTTTTGCTGATAACCATGTTCTTCTCAAGGAATTCTTGAATATTATCCCTTAATAACCTTTTAAATATTTTACCAGCCACAGAAGTTAAGCTCACAGGTCTATAATTTCCAGGCAAGGATTTTGAACCCTTTTTGAATGTAGGAACCACATCTGCCTTCCTCCAATCCTCCGGAACACTTCCTGAAAGAAAAGAATCTTGAAAGATTAAAAACAGAGGTTCACTTATTTCTACACTTAGTTCCTTAAGTACACGTGGATGGATACCGTCAGGCCCTGGAGCTTTGTTTATATTAACTTTCTTTAGTTGCTGCAGCACCTTGTCTTGAGTTAACCAATTACAATTATTCTGCAAGTTTTTAGTAGCAATCATTTGCACATCTATTGCCATGGGTTCTTCCTTAATATATACGGAGGAGAAATAGTTATTTAAAATCCCTGCCTTTTTCTGGTCTTCATTAACTAACACCCCCGTTTCAGTTTTTAGTGTACCTACACTTTCATTTTTTTTAGAATTTATGTACTTAAAAAATGCTTTGGGGTTGGTTTTGCTCTCTTTAGCTATCATTATTTCATTTTGAAGTTTAGCAAGTCTAATTGCCTTTTTGCACGCATTATTTGCTTCCTTATATCTTTTATGAGATGCATCTGATTTGTCCGATTTAAATGCTTTAAATACCCTTTTCTTAGTTGTAATCTCTTGTTTTACTTCTCTACTAAGCCACATTGGTTTTAATTTGTTTCTTTTATATTTATTTCCCAACGGTACATACTGAGAAATGTACCTTTTTAATATTTGTTGTAAGATGATCCATTTATCCTCAGAGTTCTTTTCACTAAAGAGTTTATGCCTGTCAATATATTGTAAAGCTTCCCTTAACTTATTGAAATTGGCCTTACTATATTGTGATCACTATTTCCCAAGTGCTCACCTACTTGAATGTTGGTCAAAAGATCAACGTTGTTTGTTAAAACCAGGTCCAGACAAGCGTCCATTCTAGTTGGTGCTTGTACAAGTTGTGACATGAAGGTGTCATTTAACAAGTTTAAAAACCTAATTCCCTTTGCTGAGGTACTAGTCCCTCTGTCCCAATTTATATCCGGGTAATTAAAATCTCCAATAATTAAAGTGTTACCCAGATTTGCAGCTTTCTCAATTTGCTCAAACAGCTGTTGTTCCTCGTCAATATTAACATTAGGTGGTTTATAACATATCCCAACCAATAGTTGGTTTCCCTTCTTTTCCCCCAAGCAGATATTTACCCATAAAGCTTCCACATTATCCTCTTCGCATTCCATTTGCTTAACATTTGGCTTTAAATCATGGTTAACATACAGTACAAGAAAATCAAGTTAAAAATGGCGCTATAAAATCAATAAAAATAATAAAGAATATCACTGACAAAGGCTAGCAAGCACTCATAAAAGTGAAAATAGCTCTCAAACCACTCAAATAGTATACACAGAAAAAGAAAAAAGTGCGCTGTGCCTTTAAGTGCTAATTCATCAATATAAACAATCTATAAACAAATATTGGTCAGACAATGGTGAATAAAGTGCAAATACAATATATTTGTTTCTTAAAGTGCAAATGAATTATATCCAATAATTTATACTCTGTGAATATGTGCTCTTTTGTGAGCTTCAAACAGAGAAACACTTACTCCTTAGAATATAGAAATTGCTGAAGATTGAAGGAGTATCTCTTTAAATCGCTCCACATATAAATAGAAAATAGGAGAACAAAAAGACACAATAAAGTGTAAAACTGTATGATAAATATAATTAAAAAAAATAATAGGAGAATACCACTCACAATGGTAGAGCAGAATAAAGTCTGCTCCAACTATAAATGCTTTCAAATCCTCTCTGCAGGATTCTGTAGAACAGTTGAATGGTGTGCTTGAAACAGGCAGGACGGCACCAAATAAAAATAAACCTTTTATTGGTATAGAATAAAACAGAAAATCATCACCCCTCTCCCTGGAAAGCCAAGATGGTTCAAACCCACTTTCGACTCGCGGCATGCACTTGCAGTCTTCCAGTGGTTAGATGCTTCCGGGAATAGGAGGTGCTAGTAACACGTACTGACGTCGTGCGTCCAAAATCGTGATGATGCGTTTCGCCTTAGCGGCGTCCTCAAATCACGTTCGGGTGGTTGCCGTCTCTCAAAATATATACCCGTCTATGTAGGCGTGGTATCATCTTCAATGCACATGATTAGTCCCAAATGTAATAAAAGTCTATGGACTCTAGGGCATATTGCCTAAATGTCTCTTCATATAAATGTCCATTATCTAAAATATTACATATATAATACTAATAATACCATTCAATAAAGGAAATTGATTAAGTTTAATACACATATATAAGTGAATATCCTACTACATGGGAAAAAAAGAGATATAGAAATTACTTCATATGAAAATTCATAACAGACATATAATTATATGGACCAATAGTAGATAAATCTAAAAAATCCCAATATTCATGGAAAAATGTTATAAAACGTGAAAATAGAGAGAGAGAAAAAAAATAATATATATATATATATATATATATATATATATATATACAGGAGGAAGGGGGGGCTAATCATAAAAAGTTATATAAATCAAATTCTATATTAAGTCCATTGGGCTCTAGGGTACCTAATTTGTGTACCCATTTCATTTCTTCCTTCCCAATGTCTAAAATATAGTTGCCTCCTCTCCAAGATTTTTTCACTATCTGAATCCCTAAAAATGTTAAACCACTTGGATCTGATTTATGATATCTTTTAAAATGAGCTGAAACACTATGCTGTTCAAAACCCTTTTTAATATTATTAATATGTTCATACACTCTTTTGTGTAGAGGACGAATAGTCCGGCCAACGTATTGCAATCCGCACGGACAAATTAAAAGATAAATAAGATTTTTACTAAAACAAGTTATAAAATCGTTTATTTGGAAGGCTTCTTCTTTATGCTTTGTTTTAAATTTACTAATACCTTTAATAGTTCTATTCTTACTGCATTTACATCCCACACATTTACAACATGAATAAAAACCATTTTTATTATTTTTGAAGAAAGTAGTAACTACTTCCGCTTTAGGGTGATTAAAAGTTAACATTTGTTTAAAACTTGGTGCTCCTCTAAAGGTAATAAAAGGTTTATCAGGGATCACTTTTGATAGCTCTTTATCTTTTTTGAGAAGGTGCCAGTGTCTATTTATAATAGTTTTAACTTTTTTATTATCACTATTAAAATCTAGGACTAAGGGTATTAAATCAAAATTGTCAGATCTTTTAATAGTATTACATTTGGAAATTAATTCTTGTTGACTTAATGTATTAGTCTCATCAAATGCTTTTTCAAGTAATATTTCGGGATATTTCTTTTGTGCAAATTTGTCTAAAACTGTCTTAGTTTGTTCTTTAAAAATATCATTGTCAGTACAATTTCTCAGAATCCTTTGTAGTTGTCCTTTTGGTATATTATTCAACCAAGGCGTATAGTGTCCGCTATTATATAAAACATAACTATTGGCGTCCACTTTAAAAAAAAAAATTTTTGTTTTAAGAATATCCCCTTCTGTATAAATCTCCAAATCTAAAAAGTTAATACTTTTAGTACTAAACTGACTGTTTAGTTCAATACCCCAGTTACTATTATTAATACTAGTTAAAAAAATTTCCAAATCACTTAAAGTCCCCTTCCATATAAAAAATAGGTCATCTATATACCTATGGTATGTGACCAGGTCCGCTCCCCATGCCGTGTTATTAAAAATAACATCATTTTCCCAGCCAAGCATAAATAAGTTTGCATAGCTGGGGGCGAACCTGGTCCCCATCGCTGTACCCTGACGCTGTAAATAAAATCTAGAATTAAAAGTAAAATAATTATTATCTAAAATCCATCTTATACTCTCTATTAGAAATGTGACATGCTCTTCTGAGAATTTTCCTGACTTTATCAAGCATTCCTGAATTGTATTACAACCTAAGTCATGTGGAATTGATGTGTATAATGCTGACACATCTGAGGTCACCAGAAAATAGCCCTCTTTCCAACTTACATTCTTAATAATTTTAATGACATCTGTAGTATCCTTTAAATATGAAGGCATTTCCTTGACCAAATCTTGCAACCAAATATCCACATACTTAGAGAGATTAGCTGATATTGAGCCAATGCCAGAAACAATTGGCCTACCGGGGGGTTGTGTTATACTTTTATGCACTTTTGGTAAAGTGTAAAAGACTGGTGTCCTAGGAAATTCAATTAAAAAAAAAATTATATTCTTTATCATTTAACACACCCGTCTCTTTACCTCTCTCCAGTAGTGCAAACAAAGAGGATTTTATCTCTTGAGTAGGATCCTGTATTAATTCAATATATACATTAGTGTCTTTTAATTGTCTATAACATTCCTCTAGATAATCATTAGTATTTTGAATGACAATACTGCCACCCTTGTCTGCGGGCTTGATAATAATCTCTCTATTTTTTCTTAGATTCTGTAGGGCTTTGTTTTCTTGTCCGCTTAGATTGCTCCTAAATTTTTTCTTTTTATTTTCTGTATCTAATTTTTCTAAGTCCTCAATCACAGACTTCTCAAAGATTTCAATTGCACTGGTTTTATAAGTTCTAGGAAAAAAATTGGATTTATTTCTCAGAGCTGTATGCGTTCCATTTGTTTTAAAATCTACAAATTTATTCATATTAAAAAATCTTTTTAAGGTCAAGGTCCTAGAGTATTTTAATATGTCCACATAGGCTGAAAAAGAATGAAATTTTCTTGTTGGTGCAAATTTCAAACCCTTATTCAAAATCCTAATTTCATCTATATTTGGTTTATATGTGGAGAGATTCATCACTCCCTCCAATTGGACATCCTTCCTCTTTATTCGTTGTTGAAATTCAACCCCTCCCCTGCATCCTCTGGGTCTCTGTCTCTCCTTCTTTTTTGGGGTGAGAAAGAAACCTTCTCTCTCTGCCTTCCTAAAAAAACATTCTGTCTGGGTATAGGTTGGTCTCGTGTTAAAGTTTCAAATCTATTTGTAACTTCTATTCCTCTATTCCTCTGTGGGGGACTTGTGTCTCTTCTATTATATCGTGGTTTATGCCTATACTCCACTTTAGTCCACTCGTTCCTTTTTTTGTTATTATTTTCAGGTGTCTTCCATTTGGACCCACCATACTCTTTAAAACTGTCTGTCCTAATTTTCCTTGTATTGGGAAAATAATAATTGGTATTATTATTTTTGTAATATCTATTTTCTCTAGATGATTTTTGGTAGTTTCTTACTTTATTAAACTTATAATCATCCATATCTTTTTTAAATTTCTTATATTTAACTTGTCTCACTTGTTCCTCTAATCTATTAAGATTATTCTTTGTCTGTATGGTCAACTCCTCATAATCTTTAGTTTCTACAGTAGGTTCTAAAGTTTTCTGAATATTTTTGATATCTTTATCCAGATCTTTCAAATCATCACTTCTACACATTATGACAATGCCCATCATTTCTGTAGAAAATCTTTCAAGGGCATTATTCCACATTTCTACATATCTTTGATTTTTTTCTTCATTCTCGAAAGTGGGAGTTTTAGAAAATCTTAGTCCCCTGGGAGTAATTTTCTCTTTAATATATCTCTCCAGAGTGGCTATCTTCCATTTATATTTTATTTCTTTGCTAGAAGTTTCTCTAAATCTTTAAAAGTAACCTCTATATCATCATTATCAGTAAGTTTTGCATTGGTATAATGTGGGGTGTCTTCTCTGTTCTGAGCTTGCCCCTCCCCCTGTCTCCACCCCCCTTATACTGTGCTAAAGCCCATCTCCTTTATGTCCTATCTCCATTTTGTAGATTGCTATGACCCTCCCCCCCTACTACTGGTTTAAAATCTCCTCCAGCCTTCTAGCCATCCTATCCCCCAGCACTGCAGACACTCTCCCGTTTAGGTGCAATCCATCACCACTATAAAGGTTGTACCCAATCGCAAAGTCGGCCCAGTGCTCTAAAAACCCCAAACCCTCCTTCCTGCACCAAGACTTAAGCCACGCATTGACCTCTCTAATCTCCCGCTGCCTTTCCACTGTAGCACGTGGCACAGGTAATATCTCAGAGAATACCACCTTGGAGGTCCTTTTCTTAAGTTTGCTACCTAATTCACTGAAATCATTCTTTAGGACCTTCCATCTTCCTCTTACTTTGTCATTTGTACCAACATGGACCATGACCGCTGGGTCATCCCCAGCCCCTCCCAATAATCCATTCACTCTGTCAGCAACATGCCGGACCCGAGCACCCGGGAGACAGCAAACTGTCCGGTTGAGCCGATCAGAGCGGCAGATTGCCCTATCTGTTCTCCTAATGATAGAGTCCCCTACCACCACAACCTGTCTTGCCTTCCTTACATTTTGATCCCCACCCGTACTAGGGGGGCTGTTAGCTCGGCTGTTAGAAGTAACAGCTTCCTCTAATACAGCTACTCCTGAGCTGATGCTCCCAACATCTGCTAGGTTGCACCAAATCAGGACAAGCTAGCCCTTTCCTCTTCCCTCCCCCCCTGCTTCCTCGCCCCACTGTGACCCAGCTACGTGCCTGTACCCCATCTGTCTTATCTCCTCCCTCTCCACTACCTGTCCCCACTAAACTCTGCAGCAGATTCCTCTTAAGATTGTCAATCTCCCTAACAGTTGCGATTTGCTTCTCGAGATCTCCAATCTGAGCTTCCAAAGAAGCCAGTCACACACAACCATCACAGAGGTATGGACCCTGGACGGGTACATCCAGGCATCCATACATGGAACAAGATGTGCATTGAGTCAAACCAGGAATCTTGCTAACACTAATTTCCCCAGAAACAGAAAATGAAAACAATTACCTTATTAGTTTAAATCCCTTGTTAGTTTGAACTCCTGGTTTTCTAACTCCTACTTGAAAGAGTCTACTTAATAGAGGCTGCTTTCAAGTAATGTGAGCAAGCTCAGTGAGTTAGGGGTGTGCCTTTATGGGGAAACAATCCCACACAGGTGCAATTAATGAACACTCCCCCAATCAATCAAGCAGCAGCACACAAAAAGGGGGGAAAACCAGAACACAGAAAAAAAAAAGAAAATTTAAAAAACAAAACCTTTTTTTTTTAAACCTTACCAATTTTAAAGATTAAACAAAAATAAAATACAAACCACTCTCCACAGTATACAAACCACTCCAAGTAACTCCTTTACATTGTCTTAAACCCAATGCTGTAAATCATTTGTACATTTCCCTTGTTTTCTCTTCTGTATCCCATCTCATATGCCTTAAATAAAAAACAGATTGACAAAAAAAAAAAAGTTCAGCTGTAATTTTTGAAATTTGTACAGAGAAAGGATAGAGGGCACAGCCGATACCTGCATTTTGCATGAAAGGTGCTGCCACAGTGACCAAACTTCATAAATATGAGAATAAATAGTTGCGGCGCACTCAGACTACAAAAAATATAACACAAAGAAGCCTACTAAAATGCCTATCTAAGAATGAATATGGGGATTTGGTTTCACCATATGGCCATATGTTGTTAAGCCCACCACTACTTTCAAAGTACCCCAATATTGGTGGCTTTCATAATTTATTTTTGTATACTCACTATGCTTTTACCAGGATTTAATTTAACACCTTTTATTTTTAACACTAGTACTATTTAATTTGTCCCCCACATTTTAGCGTAGGACCCACCAATATTGGAGTACTTTGAAAGTAGTGGTGGGCTTAACAACGTATGGCCATATGGTGGAACCAAATCCCCATATTTATTCTTAGATAGGCATTTTAGTAGCCTTCTTTGTGTTATATTTTTTGTAGTCTGAGTGCGCCGCAACTATTTATTCTCTCATTTATGTAATTTTTGGAATTGTCCAAGATCTGTAGTTGGATGCTGGGCTGGCTACAACGGTTTGCGTCATCTGGGAATTAGATCTGGTCGGGGTGCTGGTAAGCAACAGGTCATCTCCTTGTAGTGAAGCGTTAGACATGCTATGGGTGTGAAGTAATTTACTTGGTTATTATGATATCCTGGTAGGTATGAAGTAACCCAGCTCCCTAGATTTAATGCCCAGAGGTGAAATTATATTATTCTAACTAATTAGGTGACAGGTGACGCCCTCACTAATTGTCAAGTGACTTTGAGGGGCTCTACCTATGATTTGGCTCGTGGGGGCTTTTGATTCCACGGATGTAAGTGACGGGGTGTTGACCTCAGTGAGGTTTACGAGACTTAAGATAGATTGGCTGTGACAGATGAGGCCCTGACTATGACACAATGCAAGGCACTAACTATGTGTTGGGCCATTGGGCTGGTACCTCCGAGCGTGAGGATGGGACCACTCAACTTACGGCAAAGAGGCCTATGAAGAAATTATTCCTAATTGGCGAGGACTTTTTATAAAAGATTACTTCATATCTAGTGTTTTTTTTGTTTTTACATGTACCTGCTAGTGGACCAGCAGGGCATATTTGGTAAGATGGCCCCCACTTGCTTCTAAAACATATTATAATGAATGAGTTATAACCTTAACCCCCAGAAGTAGTTGTAGACCAATGGCGTGATATTTTGCTAGGTAATATGAGAAGTACATTGTACCAAGGGATGAAAGAAACTTTTGACTAGAATAAAAAAGGAGAAAGAGAAAACTAAATACTAACCAAATTTTTAGTTATTTAGGTTGAAATGGAAGACTTTGGACTTCTCCTTGGAAAGTGTATTAACTTGAATAACAATTTATAGAGGGAAACATACGCCAGAAGGGATAGGGTGCAAACTAGAGACCTACCTATTTACATAATCTCTGAGTTAAAGGGACACTATAGTCACCTGAACAACTTTAGCTTAATGAAGCAGTTTTGGTGTATAGAGCATGCCCCTGCAGCCTCAATGCTCAATCCTCTGCCATTTAGGAGTTAAATCCCTTTGTTTATGAACCCTAGTCACACCTCCCTGCATGTGACTTGCACAGCCTTCCATAAACACTTCCTGTAAAGAGAGCCCTATTTAGGCTTTCTTTCTTGCAAGTTCTGTTTAATTAAGATTTTCTTATCCCCTGCTATGTTAATAGCTTGCTAGACCCTGCAAGAGCCTCCTGTATGTGATTAAAGTGGATTAAAGTGGAAAAAAGAAAAAAAACAACCTTTAATCTATTTAACCAGAACTTCCATAATTTGAGTTTAAAAATGCTGTTCTGATTAACTTTCACTTTTTTTAAACAAAATAGTTAATACAGGCATCTAAAAGAACAAATAATAATAATAATAAAAGAAATTCGACCTGAAATCCACTTAAGAGATTGAGAACAGAATTATATGAACAATCTTTAGTTTTGTGAAAGCAATAATATGCACATGAATGAATTATGCGAATGTATTGAAATGACAGAGACTAAGCCGGCAGATATTATGGATGGAGAAAAACGTAACAGTCTAATGGAAATGAAACTTATGAATAGTCTAACCGACCTAAATTGCAGGCAGCAAAATTATAATATAACATAAAATTCACCTAAATAATAGCCGAACAGTAATGCTTGAAACCCAGTGCGTTGACCTTGTGTAATATATGAAAGAGAAACAAATTTCACTCTAAGGGAATGGAGAGAAATTAAATACTCAAACGAAATCTTCATGCGAATTTAGTATTGTGATTTTGGCGCGAACAGCATTGGCCTGCTAATTGTGTGAAATGCTTATGTATAAGTACTTGAGAACCC